AAGACAGAAGACCCCTGAGTACTCTAAGGGTCTTATCTCTATGGAAGTCAGAAAAGTTCCTTTATTTTCTTTCCAATTTGTTTTATTTAAACATTGTACTTGGTAAAACAAAAGTTTAAAAACTGTTGATGGTAAGATGTCATTCTAGCTGGACATTATCAGAGGCAATAGTCAAAATAATTAGTGGCCAGTATGGCACAGGAACTGACCAATCAGAATAAACACTGGTTCTGGTCTAGAATGTTTTAAGAATGGGGGGAATCAAATGACCAAGGAAGCAGAGGAGTGGGAGGGACACACAGAGAGATCAGACCACTGCTATTTACCAACTATTATGAAAATGTTTCAGTCTTCATAACTAATATGGCTACATCTCAGAGCTTACACAGTAAATCAGAGATAGAGTTAGGAGTCTACTTTAGATCTTAATTTCTTGGGGGATGGGGGGTGGAAATCTATAACTCTGTAAGGTTTACTAGTAGTTATTAGTTGCTGTTTTTGAACAATGATCTGAATTATCTTCAATGTGTCAAAAAAATCAATTATCTTAATAGAACTTCTAGCTTAATCAAAAGCTTCCCATGACAATGAAGAAGTGGACATTGCATAACTGATTATGGAACACAAAAACATATAGTTGGTCCTCCGTATTCATGGGTTCTGTATCCGTGAATTCAACTAGCCACAGATCAAAAATATTAGGAAAAAAAAATGGTTCTATCTATACTGAACATGTATAGACCTTTTTCTTGTCACTATTCCCTAAACAATATAATATCACAAGTTTTCACATAACATTTATATTTATTAGTTATTATAAGTAACCTAGAGATATTTTAAAGCTTAATGGAGGATGTGCACAGGTATTATTAATATAATATGCAAATACTATGATGTTGTAGACAAGAGACTTGAGTGTATGTGGATTTTGGCATTGCAGGGGGTCCTCGAACCACTTTCCTCTGGATACAAGATATGACTATATTTACTTTTATATATTTTTTTCATGGTCTCCAAATTAAGAAGTGCCAAAGGTACCAAGTTGTTTTTTATGTGTTGAAGAAATTTATTCATCAAAACAGATTGTTCTGTTAGACTAATATTCTTTGTTAGACAATTTTCACACAAATTTTAGAATCACTGCAGATAACTTATTATGATAATGAGTAGGCTACAAGAAACAAGTCTTCAGAGAATGCTTTTTTGAGAAAACTATGTATCTGTTTATCATTTTCTGATTTGTCAATGAACATTTTTTTAAAAAAATTCTGACATGCATGATTAGTTACAATAATGTTCTTAGGATCTCCCTCTGGAATGATAAAGCAAAATCACTGGCTCATGTAACATGGTACCTTGCTTGTAAACTTGTGAAGGAAACTCCTTTTGTTGACAGTTCTAATGTCTGCCATCTGTTTGCACGAGATGAAGCCCTGGCGCTCCTCTAATTGGCCATAAATTAGGCAGCAGCAGGCTTTTGACAGAATCCTTCAGTTACAGTTTCATTTTTTTTTAAAGCTGTGAATTCAACATTTGGTGGGAAGCCCAACCTCTCTGTTAAGAATATAGAAATATACTTCTTGAGTTCCTAGACTCAAGCTATCTTCACTGTATTTATGCCTAAACCTAGACCTCTCTCACCATGTCTTCTCTTTATGTATCCCTGGAAATAAACTTACTTTGATTAAAAAGAAAAACTGCAAAATCCAAGGGAATCCTATGCCTCTGTAAGAAGAGGAAGGACACAATTTATTAAGTGCTGACTACATGTCCTGTGCTGGGCATGGACTTTTCCATACATTAAATTGTTTGATTTTCAAACCAATTTTATAATTTAGGTAATATTATTGAATTTTACAGACAGGGAAACTGAAACTCAGAATTTAAGTAATTTGCCCATTTTCTCATAAAATGTTGCAGTCAAGAATCAAGTATTGAGCTTCGTTTGACAACACCCATTCACTATATATGCCCAGATTTGGAAAAAGAGAGAAAATTAGGATTAGGGCAAAAGCATGTGTGTGATGCAACTTGATACTCCTCTCTCTTGCAACCTCAGTTTACTAAAATGAAGGAGCTACACTAGATGATCCACAAAGTCCTATCCAGTTATGTTTTCCATCGTTAGATTAATCTGGGCTCTACCATTTAAAATGCAATCTCATCAACTTTCAATGAGCTTCAGTTTCCTCTTCTGTAAAATACTCTATCTACCTTCCAGGTGGGATCTCATGGATGTGAAAATTCATAAATTATAAAGGACTGTAGGGATATAAACTGCTGTGATTGCCCATCCACCCCCAGTTATCTGGCAGCCCTCAGCTCTACTCTCACTCCTCCTCACACCAGATTTCCTCGCTTCATGCTGTACAGGCAAGATTAAGTATATCCAAGTTCCCATAACTTTCCTTATCTACATCTCAGCATTTCTGTACAAATTTTATACCTCTCCTCTTTTTTACTATTTTCAGAAAGTGCAAAAAGAAATATTTTCTCTCCAAGTAACCTTTCCTCGTTCACCCACAATTCCCTCTCCTGCGGCCCTATTTCCCATCAAATATTCCTTTTAGTGTCTCATTTGTTCCATCTTCCTGGAGACTTGTACACTCTAGACTCATCATAAGGAAACTCTCCAAGATCCCTGGTAATGCCTCATGCTCCTTCCCTCTTCCTTTTCTTGTTTTTTCTAGCCAAATTTCTTGAAAGAAAAAGTGTCTCAGGCCTGTGCTCTCTCTTTCTTTGCATGTGCTCATTCTGTGTAATTTGGATTCCATTCTCACCACTTGAATAACCTCAGTAAAATGTGTTTTCTCCCAGGTTACTATTGCCCTTTTCTCTATCTGTCTGTGTCTCAGCTTTTAACACTGAGATTATCCCTTTTCTCCTAAAATAGTCTCTTTGTTTCTGAGATCTCCTACATTGCTCTGATTGCGAACATCTCATTATTTTTCATTCGTTTTTCTTTCCCTGACTAACTCATAAATGAAAGGATTGCCCCAAGTCTAACATTGGTCCTTTTATCTTCTCAATTCTTTCCTGAAATTCCATCCTGTCTCATGGCTTCAGCGGTTAACTATATGTGGGCAATTTTTAAGTTAATTTTAAGTTACCTATAACAAAAGTTCCTGACCCACATTTCCTACCTCCTGTAGGGCATTTGTTCTTGAGTGTCCAATATTGTATGTTAAATTCATTATATTCTTCATGGATTATCATTGTGCCTACCAAACTGATTCATCTGTGTTCCTTCTATATCTTTTCTATACCAACTACGTCCCTAATTTCTTCCTTGTTCTTTGTGTTCAGTTAGACCTTAAGCTCTCTGGTTTTACCTCTTCATTCTTATGCATTCCTCCTATAAATGGTCTCATGATCCTCAACTGGCTTTAGACTCCTAAGCAGCTACTCTGTCTCTTATCTCTCCTTCTAATTCATCTTACACAGAATTCCCAGATTAGTCTACTAAATACAGTGTTATAGTGATACCATTTTGCTACTTAAAATTGTCAGAGCTGCCCTTACACCAACATTCAGTGTTCTCAGTGAATGAGCCCCAACGTGGTTGTGAACTTGTCTGTTACAACACCTCTCCCAACTACCTTTCCACAGTCTCACTCTAGCCAGCTGAAATGGTCATAGATTCCTTATGAGTATTGCTTATGTTATTCACTGTATTTATATTGTTTTTCCTATTCACCTAATACCATTTCTTCCACGAACACTTCCCTGATTCTCCTCAAAAGTAGTCACTCCCTTTTCTGTTTTCTCCTACAATTTTATTCTGAACTCTTCTTACTTCTGCATGATGGTTATTTTTGTATATGCCACATCTGTATTAGAAGCTAACCCCCCAAACCAGCATCTGTGCTGGTTCTTCTAGCACAATGTCCTGGACATACATGGTAGATCCTCAGTAAGATGTAAGTTGAATCAAAGAAAGAGTGAATGGGTAATTGTTGTTTCTGAGAACCAGACAAAGAATTCCTATTTCAGAAACATTCATGGATATTACCATCATTCTGCAGGTATGCCACTGCTGTGGTTCTAGTGATCCAGCATGGAGGAGCCTCTAAATGTGAGGTTTGTGATTCAAGTGGGATCGCTGTCTACCCAGAACCCTCTGAGCTCTGCATTTAACTCTATCATTCTAGGCTGATCACATCTGGCCCCACAGCTTCAGTCCACACTAACGTTCTCTGCCTATTCCAGCTACAACTGGATGTTTTACAGTTCGTCTCCTGGGATAAGGCACTGGCTTTTCTGATAAATTTATCCACATATACTACAATGAAGAAAATTCTGGTTGACTATTTCCAAAAAGTACCTATTCATTTTAACCATACTCTTGCAGAGTCAATAATCTGATACTTGTAGTTTAACCTATAAAGCATTCAGGTGATGAGAATAGCAAGCCAGAATTGAGAGAAGGAACAGGGATTGGCCTTATCAAATAAACGTCTAATGATTTTAAATATATGCCTATGCCCAGAACTAAGGCTTTCTCTAAAATTATCTTCCTTAAATAATTTTATTATAAAAGTCTGGAGATGGGAGAATGGAAGTGATAACTAAAACATATATATATAACACTCCATTTCTTAGCAATGACAACAATAATGATAATTCCAAAAATTTTCAAAAACAGCTAGCATTGGTTGGGTGCCTCGTGGGTAAAAGACACTTGAATAAATGCTTTACTCACATGTTCTCATTAATCCTCAAAATATCCCTATGATATTGCATTATCTCCAGTTTACAAATGAGGTAATTGAACTGAAGCTCATAATAATTTAGTACCTTGTCGAAGATCACAAAGCTAGAATAGAAGAGCCAGCCACTTCCAAGAATAATAGAGAATGAGAATCAAGTACGGAACTCATTTTAAAATGAAAAGATATAATACAAGTATTAATAGCTTCATAAAATGATGTCTAATTCCAGGAACTTATGTGTGTTGCTGATATGAGTGTGCAATATGCATAATAAAACAATGTACTTACTCTCTGTCAATCACAAGGCAGGTTACAGCTTCTGCGGCAATTACGTTTGCTGTTCTCACATCTTCCCTGTATAAAAAATCGAGACATTGAAGTAAAATAACCTTTAATATCAAAGAAAAGTGTTCATGTGATTAATTCAGGACACATATTAAATTGTGTAACTATTCTGATTTATTCATTTCCAGGTTTAGGCTTTGTTCATGTCAACCTTTCTTTTTCATGAGGAACCACCTTACCCTTGTCATTAGTCATACAAATCCTGTTGTTATAATCCAGCAGATAACTAAACTTTAAAGTTTATAAAATTTAAATTTTAAAATTGTAAAGTTTTCAAATATAAAGGTTTGCTTATACAAGTAGAATTAAATTTACATCATAATCCATTTTGTTCTTTGAGGAATTAATGAATTAATGGGATAATGATAAAGCTAGTAATGAACGTGAATAGACGAAAGTTTTTAAAGGATTTAAAGTTATACTTCTAGAAATTAAGTATCTAATCCATTTGTGTATGAATTTGTCAGTATATCCTTGAGAACAATGGATCTTTTTTAATTATTTCCCTACTTTAGAGACACTGCTTTTGTGTGGCTAATATTTTAGCAACTTACGGTATCCAATTATTCATTTATAACAGAGCTTGTGGTTCTTCAGGAGTATTTGACAAATCTTAGTCACACTGACTGAAATGTATAAATACCGTCTCTTTAGAAGCATTTAATTTATCACGACAGTAGTATCTATCAACCTCTTAAACCTTTAAAAAATCTGTCCCAGTATCTCTTGTTTGATCCCATAGTCAAAGGTGGATGTGATAAACTAACACTCACCATTCATTTTCAGCTACTAAAAATGTAATAGTACCCTGACATGGTAACATTAAATTATACTTGAAAAGATATTCTTTTCCTAAAATAACAAAATTTCTAAGTTAACGTATTAAATAATTAATGATAACTATAAAGTTGAAATATATTACAATACATAGGTACACAGAAAACAATAAAGCATTAATAATATATTCTAAAATTCACAAAACATCATGTCTCAAATAACAGGCTCTTAAAGTCTTGAAAATAAAGCTGTTCCTAGTGAATTTTCAAAACATACTAACTTCTAACATAAACTTCTGAATTCTTTTTGTTTTTAACCACTGATCTGTTTTTGCCTGCTGTTAAGATTACAGTTGCTTTATAGTGGCTATTAATATTTAGCATTTGGTAAAGCAAGTTCCCCCTTTCTAAAATTCTTTTTCAGAAATAGCCTGATGGTATTCTTAAGACTTCATTACTTTTGAGAAATATCCTGACGACATTTGTAAGCATTCGTTATTTCATATAGACTTTAAAATCGTTTTCCATTTCTAAAAAAAACCTACTTTGAGATTGCGGTAGAGCTGTACTGTGTTTATACATCGATATCAAAAGAAGAACTTTATGATGATATTAATGTTTCCATATAAGAACATGGCATGACTTTCTACTTGTTCAGATCTAGTTTTAGGTCTTTAAATAAGATTTTGTAATTGTTTTCATTTGGGTACTGACTTTTTTTTTTATTCTTAGGTGTTTCATGTCATGTTTCTCTTCTAAGTTACATTTCATTTGCTTCGCACTGATTGCATTATTTTTTGAAAAGCTATCAATTATTGTGTATTTTTTAATCCACTGACCATGCTAAGTTCTCTTCTGACTTTAAAATTTTTATGATGGTCTCATCAACTCCCTGTAAGACCCTTTTAGTGCCTCCTTCAAATTCTCTGCCTTCCAGCCAAACTAGCCGGCTTTCAATACACATCCTCTCCCTCCTGCCCTGAGTTCTTCTCTAAACATGCTTTCCCCAGGCTAGGAAACTTCTTTCCAATTCTTTTCTTAGTTCACCCCTACTTATTCCTTAAATTTCAACCTAATTTCCCCTTCTTCAGGGATGCTATCCTGAATTAACCAGGTCAGTTTCCCTACTTATCTGCTCTCATGGCCCTACATACCTCTCCCTCCAAGTACTTATCACTGTTTGTAATTTACACATTTATTTATGTGGTCATCTGGTTAATGACTCTATCTCCCTCCCACTAAGTCATATGAGGGCAGGGACCATGGCTAGTTTTGCTCCCCATTTTATCCCAAATGTCTCACACATAGGAGGCGCTTTGTGAGTGGGTGCAGCAGGAACGGCACAGGCATCATCAGACTCCTGAGCCCTGGGGCAGTAAGGCAGAGCTCAGGTTTGGGAGTCGCACTATCTTGGTGTTAAACCCAGTTCCACCAACTTATGTGAAAGCTTCCATTTCCTCATACATAAAATGGGAATGATGAAAGTACCCACTCACTGTGTGGTATTAAATGAGATAATCAAAGATAAGTTTATCATAGTCCCTGGCACATAGAAAGAAATGTGTTCTGTTGTTTATTATTTCTGATTCTTCTCATCTCCAAAACCAGCATGTCTGTCCCTGTAGAGGCTTTGTCTGGTGTTTTATAAAATAATTCACCCCAAAAAAGTGGGGTATTCTTAATTCTCTGTAAAAGGAGACAATATGTTTTACTTCATTATCACTTTCTGAGTGGGAATTTTTGGTGAAGTGACCACAACAGGCAGAAAACATGCATAATGCCCATTGGATCCTCTATGCATCATGTGAATGACTTATTTCTTAGGATGTTGCTCATGGCAGCATAAATTACTATAAATTGCTGCTAGTCAAAAAGAAACAATCAAACAACAACAAACCCACCCCAACCATTGCAGCTTTATAGAAAGCATCATGTTAAATCTAGCTTTTCCTAAACTATATTTTCATCTTGGTTATTTAGAAATCTCCCACAGTCTTTAAAAGTATTTTATACACACACACACACACACACACACACACACACACACACATACATATATATATACATACATACATACATGTGTATATATATGCTTTGTTTTTGAATATATTTTTGTGTATATTGATTTTGAAAAATGTATTCATCATAAAAATTTCTAATACTTTAGAATTTTATCATATCATCTGGTCTAAGCTGGATATACTTTTAAAACTAAGTGCAATTTCCTTGCAACAAAAAGGAAACACATTAATATTTTAAAATATGAGTGGGGAAAATCAAAGATCAAAAGAGTGACATTAGTCAATAAAAATGGAAAATATTTTATTTTAAAAAGGACAGTTTATAAGTACAGGTTAGAATTAGGCTTAGCACCTAGTAAGGTGACATATATTAAAACTAAAAAGAAGCATAGCATTGGGGAAAAAACCCAACATATTACACAATAAATTATATTTGCCATTTATTGAGCATCTAGTATATGTCAGAAAGTATATTAAACAGATCATACAAATTTCATTTATTGTATATAACAAAGGGTGGTTATTTTATCCTAGATTTACTCATGGGGCTAGAGATTAGGTAACACATCCAAAGTCAGATATAGCTAGTGAGTTGCAGCCCTGGAATTTGAACACATGTCTGGCTGTCCCTAAAGTCATGTTCTTTCCACAACAGTACACTGCTTATATACTCTGCTATCAGATTTTAATTTAACAACAATTCTAAATTCATTAAAATGTGGAATAACTTTCGAGCAGTAAGTAGTCATAATGTCTCTATCATCATGAAAATTAGATTTAATTGTTAATAAAACCAGTGTTAATATATTTATGGGTGTCCAATAGTATAACTAATCTGATGAGTCATTTTGATTCTCAAGTTATAAGAATTTCTATCCATGGCTATGTGTGTACTATGCTGCTTTATAATTATGTTACATAACAATAGGAAATTATTAATATTTAATGCCGAGCATATTCAATGTCAAATCCATGTTGCCATTACACTGTCATTTTGTTTCTACGATTAAGGTGCTTAACGTCTTTATGCCTTTCTATACAGGTATCTAGAAATATTATTCCTGTGCAGTCAGAGAGCCTGCCCCTGCGAGAAGCAAAATGCTACCTGACCTAGTATTTACATATATATTAATCTCTCATTGTAGGAGAGATGGTAGAAACTTCTAATAAGAGGATATTGTTGGTAAAAGCTGACAATACTGGAATTGATTGTGTATGTTTATTTCCTTTGTGGGTTCAAGGACTGTGGTAAAAGCAAATATCATTTGTATTTAGACGTAAAATACTACATACTCATATAATACAGAGGTCTTAATAATTCCATGTTGTTCTTAAACTTATTTCCATCAATACACAGCTGTTATGATATTTGTTTTGCACAGAATATCTACTGAGTTAGCAAGGGTTCCAACTAATACTGGTTTAGATATGGGGAAAGGGAAAAGAGAGTCGGATAGTGTTATTTTCTTTATTGAGCTTGCTTTCATTCAGTTTTATGTGCAGAAGATCAAGGTATTTAGTAATTTCTAATAGAGGAATATGAGATTTTGATGAAACATTGACTATAAGAGAATTTTATAACTAAAATTATAAGATAATGCCCAATCTACTTAGTTAAAAACTTTCACCAAACACACATTGATTGCCTCTGAACGTTCAGCATACTAGGCAGCTTCTTTATAATAAATAAATGTCTATGTATTTATGTAACAGTCCAGGTATAACATGCACGTTGTCTTTAAAAATAAATTCTCATATTCATCCAGTTCTGTACCTGCATATTAGTTGATTTCAGCATACCAATTAACAAACATGTACTAGCATAGAAGTATCTCCTGTTTGGCAGATTAACAAATATTTTCACAAACCTGCTATCAGTTAATGAATAATTACAGTCAAAGCTATGCAGTTTAGTAGTGGTCTCTTTTTAAGCAATTTTGGAAAAGTTAGAAATTCCTTTCAATGAAATTATAGACCATGAAAAATATGCCAAAATCTTTGCAAATATAGTTTTCTGTGCACTGACTCTGATATTCTTTGAACTTCATCACTGGAATCTTCATCATCGCTGTATCCCAAAGTGGAGGCACTGTCAGTATCTGAATCTGAATACTCCATAGCAAGGGTTTACATTGACTCTTCTCGTTCCGAAGCAGTTCTCTTGTGTCTTGTGGCTACTAGAGAATTCTATGGTTCATTGATATCAGGGAAA